AACAATTTAGACATAATTAAAGTAAGATATCGCTTGATCTAATTTTAACCGTCGTCATGGTAATGATGGCCGCGGGGAACGATAACACCGAGGTTCCGTTTTTACAATATTCCATGGCTAATATTAAATGCTCATACTTGTAATCGTTATTTTTGCGTGTTTTGGGCGAGACATCTTGTTTTAACAATAGGCAAATAGTGTTTGATGTGAAGTAGCCTTTTATACAATTTTTGGCCATCGCGCAGAAAATAAGGTAAAAATTACTTTGATTTCCGTATTTAGTACTATTTTGAAAATACACTAACTTATTATAACATATAAAACATTATATATTACGTCTTATTAAACTAATTTCATTAATTTAAAACATTGAAAAAAATGAATGTCAAGAGGACTAGCAGACAACACATTTGGGCAGATCGGTCAATCGCGTCACAACATTTCTTGAAAATTAACCAACCGTATCAGTCATAGCACTGTAGCCATTTATTAACAAACTCTTTTTTTTATCATTTTCTAAATCTCTATAATAAAAATTGGGTAACAGGACAAACGATCCCAGGACAAATTATCTCAGACAAAATATCTCACGGACAAAAGATACCAGGACAAAAAATATCAGGACAAATGATATCATGGACAAATGATCTCAGACAAAATATCTCAGAAGAAATATCTCACAGCAAAATTGTAATAGTGTATTGGATGATTTCAGTTGATCTGCACATTTTTATTGACTGTCATATGGTATTGTTTACTATATTTAATATTGTTTATAGGCCTATATAATAGTTTTTAAGAAATATTTGCAGCATAAATGTGTGATATTGCATTAAACATGTTAAAATTCAGATTACTAATATAGTATGTGAAGATTAAAGAAATTTTCCGATAGCCAGCTTAGGTGGGCTTGCCAAACATGAGACAATCCTACCACGTCAAGTGGACGAAACTAGATCAAAGGGAATTAAATAACAATAAAGACACATCTTTGTAACAAGGTGGCCGCCCGCTTTGATGGCAGAGACATAACTTAAGGCACGGGTTCCCAAAATGGGGCTCGCGAAGGGCGTCCTGTGGGGGTCGCCAACTGGTAGACTAAACCCTAGCATTGAAAAAAAAAACGTAAATATCTAGAAGAGTATCTGACATTTGGCTTTACTAACATCAGTGAAAATAGAATAGAGAAGAAGCAATGCCTAGTGTATGAAGTTGTTCTCAGTCACGAGTTTATGAAATCTTCAAAACTAAAACGTCATTTTAGACGAGTCATTCGGAACACACCAAAAAAGATATGGAGTTTTCTCATCGTCATGAAGCTAGTTGCAATCGTCAGAGACTTAATCGAACAGGAAGTTTTCACCAAAGAAACACAGCAAAAGCAACAAAAAAAAACAAAATAGAAGAAAATCTCATCAAACCCTGCATGTTGAAGATGGTGAAGTTAATTCTTGGGGATTCCAGTGCAGTAAAGATGCAACATACATCTCTGCCTAATAATACTATTCAGTGGCTTATAGCAGATGGGTTAAAACGGATGTGGGCGTTTGTACGGATGGTGCGCCATCTACGTTCAGGTCAAAATCGGGCTTTCAGAAAACAGAAAAGATTTAGCTCCCTAACCACTGTCCTTGCCATCATGACTCCATTGCTAGTAAAAGTCGTAAATTATATTAAATCTGGAGCCTTCAAAGAACTGAGCAAAGACATGAATAAAGATCACGAGGTTCTGCTTTTCTACATTACAGTACGCTGGCTGTCAAACGGAATGTTGTGAATCGTGTTTTTGAATTGAAATCTGAAATCATATTGTTCTTGGAAGTGCAAAGGAAACAAGACCTTTTGGTATGCTTAAAACGACATAGAGTGGTTGGAGAGAGTATGACACCTAGCTGAAAAATCGGCGGTGAAAATAAATCTTAACAATATTGTAAATTTGAGAAACTCTGCACTGTGCTAGATGAATTTGATTGTGAGATAATTTAAATATTGAAAGAAGCGTTTTCTGGGCATCGTAAATCTCTTGAAACCAAAATACAGTGCTATTTCTCTGAGCTGAAAAAAGAAGAATCTGCATTGACGCATTACCCATTCTGTTCTTCCCTTGATGTTGCCAGCATTCTAGATGAATTACAAGATGCATTCTTTGATTTGCAGAATGATTTCGCGTAAGATGAAAAAATGTTCACAGAATTTTGGTGTAGTATTCACCATTCATACCCAAACGTAAAATTGATTGACTTTTCGAGAATAGATTTTCAACACTATTCTCCGATTATAAAAAAAAAATTAAGAAATAAATTGAATGTTGATAATGACATAGGTTGGCGTTAATAAAAACTTAACCTCGAATGTTTGGTAAATAACATGCAGTTTTAATCATGGTATTAATACAGTTATCAAGAGTAGTTCATATTGAAAGTTATAACAGTCAAATGTTTATGAATGAATGTTGGGAGTTTGTGTGTTAAAAAAAGGCGAATTGGATTCAGGGAGACAGTGGGGTGGTACGCATGCGCGGGAGGAAGGAAAGGAGGCAAGAAGATGGCGAGGTCTGAGTGAACACGATGCCTGTATGAAACAAAATAAAATATGAAAACTTGCAAGAAGAAGGCTTGACTTTTGTTTTTTCGTATGTATATTATAAAGGGTAGGGAAAAGGTCTGTGACAAAAGTCTACTAGAAAATCTTATTTTAGTGCTTATTAATTTCCATACTAATTTCGGCTTTTTAATTCTATGGGGGTCGCGGGTCACTTACATTTTATAAAAGTTATTCGCCAGTCGAAAAATTTTGGGAACCACTGCATTAAGGGAACGAAATCCACCCTCCATGAACAACACAACTAACATCTAAAGTCAATAGTTATGCGTCGGTCACACCTTAGTGATTAGGTGACAAATGCTTATTTAAGACGAACAGCGGTCAACTCGGAGCTACGTTTGTCGTAGTGTGCATGCTAACAAAGCAGTATTAGTGGTGATTACTCAGCTATGACCTCTATCGTTACCTCGCAGAAAGGGTATAGGACATTCGCTTCTGGTGATTTATGTTTATAAAAGCCAGAAGTAGAACAGCAGGCAAAGAGATTTGGAAATGTGAAGATAGAATATGTAAAGCAAGAGTTCATACAATACGTGATCACATAGTATTGGAGAGGTGTGATCATAACAATGTACCTGCCGGCATAGAAACGTAAGCGTTTCGTTTCTGTTCATGATGCAATAAAAACAATAATTTAACGTTACAAACCTAAAGACCCATTCACATTTTTGAAAAAATATTTCGCTGTTTTGAACATTAATGTTGTATGTTTGTTTTATACATTATCATTTATTATACATTTCAGGAATAGGTTAGTTTTAATTTTTACTTTTTTAAATCAAATGCTATTAGAAGGATTAAGTTTAATAAATCTTTTGATGCTTTTTTAAGTTTAACAGATTCATTTTACTCACAATTATCACGCGTAAAAAGTAAACAAAACCATATTGACAGTCAATAAAAAAAAAGTTCAAATCAACTAAAATCATCGTACATACTTTTAAAATTTTGCTGTGAGATATTTTGTCTGAGATATTTTGTCTGAGATTATTTGATAATAATATCATTTGTCCTGATATATTTTGTCGTAGTATCTTTCGTCCGTGAGATCATTTGTCCTTGAGATCATTTGTCCTGAGATCATTTGTCCTGAGATCATTTGTCCATGAGATTTTGTCTGAGATATTTTGTCTGAGATATTTTGTCTGAGATATTTTGTCTGAGATCATTTGTCCTGAGATCATTTGTCCGTGAAATATTTTGTCTGAGATATTTTGTCTGAGATCATTTGTCCTGAGATCATTTGTCCGTGAGATATTTTGTCTGAGATCATTTGCCCTGAGATCATTTGTCCGTGAGATATTTTGTCTGAGATTATTTGTCCTGAGATCATTTGTCCGTGAGATATTTTGTCTGAGATATTTTGTCTGAGATATTTTGTCTGAGATCATTTGTCCTGAAATCATTTGTCCGTGAGATATTATGTCTGAGATCATTTGTCCTGAGATCATTTGTCCTGAGATCATTTGTCCGTGAGATATTTTGTCTGAGATATTTTGTCTGAGATATTTTGTCTGAGATCATTTGTCCTGAGATCATTTGTCCGTGAGATATTATGTCTGAGATCATTTGTCCTGAGATCATTTGTCCTGAGATCATTTGTCCGTGAGATATTTTGTCTGAGATATTTTGTCTGAGATATTTTGTCTGAGATCATTTGTCCTGAGATCATTTGTCCGTGAGATATTATGTCTGAGATCATTTGTCCTGAGATCATTTGTCCTGAGATCATTTGTCCGTGAGATATTTTGTCTGAGATATTTTGTCTGAGATCATTTGTCCTGAGATTATTTGTCATGGAACCGGTCGAATTCGTGCTTTCAGAATAAAAAGTAAAAGATCTAGCTCCGAAATTAACGGGAATCGACACAGTTCACTATTAGGCCCCAGTCAGGAAGTTTCTTCCTCCTCTCTTACAAAAACTACGATAATAAACATCGCTAATTACATTCAATCTGGAGCCTTTGAAAGCCATCTGTTTAACCCATTAACGCCGACTGAGTACCAACATCAATGACACTGTACACCCACAGATTCTCCACAAAGTAGGCTACCCACAGCAGTGATACTGAGTACCCACTGCTAAGGCTAAGTACCCACAGCAATGTAATCGATTGCCAAAGGCGCCAGCACTGAGTACCTATAGCAGTGTCAGCAAGAACCGACTGCAGTAACACTGAGTACCCACAGCTTCAACACTCAGTAAACTTCTTAAATACCATTCAATCTGGAGCCTTTGAAAGACGTCTGTTTAAAAAGTAGTACAAAAAATGGATTCTGTATTTTGTTTAATAAATACATGCTCATCCAATTGTGATGTGGCATGTACCCTTTATACTCTCATGTGGCATGTGTTAGGTCAGAATTCCACAAACATCCATTCACTAGATATTTACAGGGTACACTGTTTGCATGTTCCTGTATGAAGCTGTTCTGGTACCCGCTGTTCCTGTATTGCATGTTCCTGTATGAAGCTGTTCTGGTACCCGCTGTTACTGTATTGCATGTTCCTGTATGAAGCTGTTCTGGTACCAGCTGTTCCTGTATTGCATGATCCTGTATGAAGCTGTTCTGGTACCCGCTGTTCTTGTATTGCATGTTCCTGTAAACTAAACTGTGCTGTGCAACGACCTCCCGTAACAACTGTTCCCGCAAGACGCTATCCGTTTAAGAAGCTGTTCCTGCAACAGACGTCCTTAAACAACGTTCCAATACGAAGTGTTCCTTGGCCAGTCTAGCAAGTCACGAAGTGAGCCGTGTCAAGACTACGTTGATGTCCACCGAACTCATCGTTGATGTCCTTTAGTCTACCAACCCAGAAGCCCAGTGTATTTTGTGTGTGAGCGTGTGAAGGTGCAGCAGCCTGCTGATATATTGGACCAGCACTCCTGACCTACAATCACACTCTGGGGTAAGTGCCTTTTGTATCAGCCCTCGTACGGTGCTCTCGGCAAGCAAAAAACTCTGGTTTTCTTTACCCATTGGGTTTAGATATACCCGCGTGAAATTCTCTAGAGTCGTAGAGGTTAAGTAAACTTCCTGAGTTGCCATTACTGGGGTTTCTTGGTTATTACTTGGCAATGGGCCAGAAGTATAAAATTTGCCAAGAGAGAAAACTACTAGAGTAGGCTGAAAATAAAGTAGCAGAAGCAGAAGAAAAACAGAGAGGAAACAAAACTAAAGATAGAGTTAGTCGAACGAGAAGCTAAGAGAGCTTTAGAAAAACTAAGAATAGAATCAGAAGAAATGTTTAAATTAAAAACCCTCGAATTGGAGCAACAAAGTTTGGGTAACCAACGGGTAGTTGAACAAACAAAATCATATGTCCCACGTCTTAAGCTGATTAACTTAAAAAGTAACGGTGGTCCAATGGACATGGAAGTAGTGATAGATATTTTTGAAAGAGAAGCTAGAGAGGTAGGGTTAGATCATAGATATTGGTGCCATGAGTTCAGGAAAGTTCTGTTAGACAGTGGCTGTGATGCCTGGTTAACTGAGCTAGGAGCAGAAGAAGACTACACCAAATTAAAACGAGAAGTTCTGAAACATTTTGGGCTAACAGAGTCAGGCTACAGCAATAGGTTTAACTCATCCAAACCCAACTCTGAGGACAAACCAGGAAGCTCCATTAGGAGAACTAGACATTATTTGATCTGATTCTTAAAGACAAAATCTTAAGGACAGTAAGTTAAGACATCAGACAACACATACTAATACATAATCCTAGGACTGTTGACGAGGTGGAGAAACAGTGTGACAACTATTTCGCTATATTCCTGATGAAACAGCTAGGCGACTCTCCAGATGCACCGACAGAACTTATAGTTACAATAGCAGAACCAATGCATCAAAAGATGACCGACGTCTTCGTAGATCAAATTCTCCGCACTCTAGACACAGCTATAGACACAACACACGTAGCTCGAAATCACCGCAACTCTGGACCTCGCCTATCACACTTCACAAGATATAGACAAAATTCTGACTCAGACAGTGATAGTTATGTGCAGTCACCGGTCCATCTCGACAAACTACACGGACTTATAACAACTCGCCTCGACCACAAACTAAATGTTTTTCATGCGGCCTAAAGGGCCATATAGCAGCTGATTGTAATGTCGATACCGAGCGGACACAACGACAGGGGCGTAATAATTCACCTAATGTGGATAAGAGCAGAAACAAACAGAAGAAGGTCAGTTTTAGAAGCAAAAAAAGATGACTAGTCCCGGAGTTTAGTGGAGAGTTCGAAGATTGCGATCAGTGTATCAACCACATGAAGTTTACCTTGCCAATAGGGAACATAGTTAGCGATCTGTGGGAAAAACATTGTAAGGGAAAGCTACCTATCGTCTCAGGGAACCAGACAGTTACTGTTTTGCGCGATACAGGTTCTGTAGTCATAGCGTGTAGGAAACAGTGGACAGAAGTAGATGTAATCGTGGTAGGATGAAGATTAAGACAGCCAACGATGACAGCAAGAGAGTGCCTAGAGCGTTAGTGAGCATTGAAACTCCTTATCTTAATGGAGAGTTTCTAGCCGTCCTCAAAAATTGTTGGAAGTCTGCAAAAAAAGGCAATAAGAAGTATACAATTGTAGACGGCTTGTTGTTCAAAGTCGTCGGACACAGTAGAGTGGAAGATCAAATTCGTTTAGTCGTACCATCAGCACTTAGAGATACTGTGTTAAAACTATGCCACTACAAACCCATGGCCCGCCACATGGGGTTGGCTAGAACCAGAGCCCGGATCTTCTCAGCGTTTAGATGGCCAGGCGCAGCTGGTGACATAAGAAAGTACTGCTACATTTGTGACACATGCCAGAAAGGCAAGAAGAACATCGGCAATAAAGCGCCGCTAGGTAGACCACAAGTGGTTGGACAACCATTTGCCAAGTTAGCCATTGATATTGTAGGACGATTAAGGCTTACACAGAAGAGAAATGGGTTTATCCTAACGGCTATAGATCTACGTACATGATGGCCTAAAGCGGTACCTCTTATAAGTATAACTGCATCGGAGGTTCAAGATGCTCTGGTCTCAATTTTTACTACAATGGGATTCCCTGAAGTTATTTTGTCGGATAATGGGTCCCAATTTACGTCAGAAATTTTCAACAAGGCTTCGAAGCTGCTAGGTATTAAACTGGGGAAGTTGAAAGATAGAATGGTACTTTCAAGGAAATGCTGAGAAAAATCACAGCAGATAGACAGGAAGACTGGGACGAATTTATACCGGCAGCTCTGCTTGCCTTCAGGGAAGTCCCAAATGAAATCACTGGCTATTCACCCTTCGAATTCATGTTCAGTAGAAAAGTCGGTAGAAAAGTTAGTGGACCTATGAACATACTCAGGTCCATTTTTACAGGCGAAGGAACTAGTGACTGTAAGACTAGGTTAGCATATGGCTACTTACTTGACTTAAAACAAACATTACAGTCAGCGTGTAGGCACGCTACGAGAAAGACAGCAATGAGTAAAGATAAATACAAAGAGTAATATGACAAATCAACAAAAGTAAAAGACAATAGAATTGGCGACCATGTGTTGGTCCTAAAGCTTCAACTGCTAAACAAGTTAGAGCTTAGATGGGCAGGGCCTTACGAAGTTGTTAACAAAATCTCAGACCTAGACTATGTTGTTAGAGTCGGTGAGAAGACAAAAGTCTTCCACGTAAACCGGATCATACTGTACCACCACAGGAATAATTCAGATAAGTCCAAAACACATCTCATGCTAGCGGCCGTATCAGGTGTTATCGAAGAAAAAGAAGAGGAGCCTGAGTGGGGCAATGATCCGCAACCGGGTGTCCCACCGGTTAGGATTAGAACGCCTGACGTGACAGAACCCACCGAACTAACCACAATTCAAATTAACGAAAAACTCTCCGAGTCGCAACGTACAGACCTACATCGTCTGATCCATGAGTTCAAAGATGTTATCAGTAATATACCGGGTAGAACTAACTTAGTTGAACACAACATTGAGTTGAGTGACTTTAAACCCATTCGGATGAAACCCTATTCTAAACCCTACGCACGCAGAGAAATAATGAGAGCAGAAATCGAAGAAATTGGAAAGATTAGGGATTATAGAAAAGTCAAACTCAGACTATAGCGCTCCAGTAGTTTTGGTCAAAAAGAAAGATGGGTCTGCCCAATTTTGTGTTGACTACCGCAGGCTGAACGCCGTCACCATATATGACGCTGAGCCTATCCCAGACCAAGAGGAGTTATTTGCCAAGTTGAATAGTGCTAAATATTTTACTAAATTAGACCTGACCAAAGGCTACTGGCAAATACCCCTCAACGATAAACGCAAGAAGCTTACAGCGTTCTCTACACCCTGGGGACTTTACCATTTTAATTATCTCACTTTTGGTCTGTCTACAGCTCCTGCAAGCTTCGCCAGATTAATGCGTTTAGTTCTGAAAGGTTTAGAGAACGTAGTCTCATTCTTTGACGACATATGCATTTATAGTGACAGCTGGGGGGAACACGTTAAAAGCTTAGAGGCAGTATTTAGGAGATTAAGGGAAGCGGGATTAACTGTAAAACCGTCAAAAATAGAACTAGGATTTGAACAGGTAAGTTTCCTCGGTCATATAGTGGGAAGTGGAGAAATGGCACATCAGAGAAGAAAAATAGATAAAATTCTAAATATTGCCGTCCCAAGAACTAAGAGACAAGTGATACAACTTGTAGGCCTTATTAGCTATTACTCCAAATTTATCCCCAACTTCAGCAATCTTAAGGCGGTGCTGACTGGCCTTTTGGCGGGGGATAAACCAGAGAAAGTTGTTTGGACAGATGAGTGCAACAGGGCTCTTGGGCTAATACAGGAGCACTTAAACTCAGAGCCTGTCCTTGTCCTGCCCGATATTAACCAACCGTTCATACTCAGGACGGACGCCTCAGCACGCGGCATCGGCGCAGTGCTACTGCAGGCTAAAGAGGGGGTGCTGCGGCACGTCAAATATGTCAGCAGGAAGTTGCTACCGCGAGAGACGAGGTACTCAACAATTGAGAGGGAATGTTTGGCCATTATCTGGGCAGTGGGGAAGTTAGCACTGTACTTAAACAACGTACACTTTACACGCCAAACGGACCAACGAGCTTTGAAGTATTTAAACAACTGTAGTTACATCAACTCTAGATTAACTCGATGGTCTCTATTGTTACAAGAATTTAAGTTTACTATAGAGCATATACCAGGCAAAGAGAATATAGTAGCGGACATGCTATCAAGGGACTAGAGAGAAAGAGTGGTAGATGGTGGATTTTGAAAGTGTGAGTGCTAGACTCGCTATGTATTGTCACTAGTAGCAATATAAACAAAAAGTATGCAAGTACACTTGAAATTTTATAATTGTTCTAATTGGCTCCAAGGAAGTTTAATTTTGCGTGAATGAGTGAGTGCGTGAGCTATTGAACGTGGGTTGCAATATGTATATACATATATATATATATATATATATATATATATATATATATATATATATATATATATATATATATATATATATATATATATATATATATATATATATAAAATTTTATTTTTACTTGTTTCATCAAATGAGCTAATTGCTGTTGTAGA